CTTTACTAGCTTCTAGATTGTAGTGTTTTAGAAGCATGTGGTAAGAGTAGCCAGTTTATAAAATGATTCCCTACATAAAGTTGTAGCAGCATGAGAGATTATTGGAACTTTGTCATGAATCTACTCCTGAACACTTTGAGCTATGCACAAAACCTAAAGGGTTTCTAATTTCATATTTCTTTCTTTATACAAAGAAATTCTTTAAAAAATGTTTAATGTTTATTTATTTTTGAGAGAGAGAGGTACAGGGTGTGAGTCGGTGAGGGGCAGAAAGAGGGAGACACAGACTCTGAAGCAGGCTCCAGGCTCTGAGCTGTCAGCACAGAGCTTGGCGTGGGGCTTGAACTCATCAACCACGAGATCATGATCTGGGCCAAAGTTGGACACTTAACTGACTGAGCCACCCAGGCGCTCCAAGAAATACTTAAATGGAAACTTGAAGCTCTACAGAAGATATGCTTATATCAATAACTCCCACTTATTGGCTTTGTATCAGATACATGTTTCATTTAACCATTGTAACAACCTTAGAAGCTGATTTAACTACCCCATGATCACATAGTTAATCAGAGCTGGGATTTCAAGTCTGGTTTGTCTGGACTCAACCTGTGTCTCAGAACTCAACCTGTATCTCAGCACAGCCCCTCCTCCAAGCTCAGGGCACTCATGCTCTCTCTGCTTCAATGTGCACAAAAGCACCGACTGTATTTTGTTGTTGTTTGTTTATTTATTTATGTATTTATGTATTTATTTATTTTAGAGAGAGAGAGATTGTAGAGCACGAGCGAAGGAGGGGCAGAGAGAGAGAGAGAGGAAGGGAAAGAGAATCTCAAGCAGGTCCTGTGCTGACAGCACAGAGCCAGACATGGGTCTCAACCTCATGAACTATGAGATCATGACCTGAACCAAAATCCAGAGTCCGACGCTTAACCGACTAAGCCACCCAGGTGCCCCAAATGTATCGACTTTAACGACAATGACAGATTTATATTTGATTTCATTTTCTGTACAGAGGTATTCTAACTGCTTTTTTCTACTCTCCTAGTTTTTCTTCCCACCTGCAGAGAAAATGTAACCCTGCATGCTGCTGCCCCCTGGTGGCAATATTCCTAACTCAACAAAAACAGGGTTTGGGAACCTTTTATGTAACTCTTCAAAGTCAAATGAGAGAGTGACAACAGCTCCTAACATGGTGTCCACAGATCACCTTCCTGTGCGGAGACAACCGGTGCCCGCTCATTAGTCATGCCCGTGGAGCTCGCGTCCTGCCCCCTTGCCCACCGCGTCAAACCTTGCCAGGCGTTCCTGGGACTTGATTGCACATCTGTGCCTCTGGCCACCTGCCATTCCTTACTCCAGGCTCCCTTACAGCACTTACCAAGGCTTCTTTGCAGTGAGATAGTAGTACATGAGCTCTGTTTCCTCAGCATGAGATGAAATGGTGAAGCACAGACCAGCCACTGGCTGCTCCCAGAGGTACATCACTTGAGTACTTTTCTCTCTCCACCTGCGAGTCAAGTCTTGTAGAAGCCCGGTCTTGAAACCTCACCCACTGTCCTCAGCCCAGCGGCCTCCACTCGGAATCACCACTCAGAATCATCCACCAGGAGAGGGGAGACGGGAGCAGTATACACAGGCCTCCTTCC